CAAACAAGTACCAGCAGGAGAAACTCAGTTTTGTGTAGGGTTAAGTTGCCCCTTCTGGAAGAGTAGGCCGGAGGATCAGTCCGGTCTGAAGGAAAACAATGCAGAGAGCAACCCCCGGAGAGATGCCAGAGTCAACTTCACAGGGCCCGAGTTCCTGGTGCCAGGCCACCTCCGTCTGTGGCTGGAGCATAAGTCAGTGATTTCCCTTAGTGTTGATGTTGTTTGGAGCTGGGCTGTCATTTATAGCTGCAAGTCTTTCCAAAGGTTTTCTGGGTGTTCACCTAAGTACTGCCACACTGCTTCTCTAATGTGGTCTCCTGGCCACTTGAACCCCACAGGTACTGCTTTGGTTATGAAGAAGAGGCTGGACATAAGGCCTGATGATTGCCTTTTTGAAGGCTTTATTTTCTCTTTGACATTCTCTGATATACACCTCCGGCAGTTTGGCCTCTGTGATTCCCAGCAGGTTCAACTACTCCAGATGTCCCAGTAATATTTTAAGTTCGACATTGTGCTTTGAAAACCCAGTTACATGCATTTTCTTTCTTTCTTTTTTTTTTAAGATTTTATTTATTGGGGCGCCTGGGTGGCTCAGGGTTAAGCGTCTGCCTTCGGCTCAGGTCATGATTCCAGGGTCCTGGGATCGAGCCCCGCAACAGGCTCCCTGCTCCGCGGGGAGTCTGCTTCTCCCTCTCCCACTCTCCCTGCTTGTGTTCCCTCTCTCACTCTCTCTGTTAAATAAATAAAATCTTAAAAAAAGAGAGAGAGAGCGATAGGAAACAAATATGAAGAGACAAAGGAGATCATTATTACTTGAAGGTCATGCATCATCCAACTACTAGCATTGTTACTGCTTCTGCTAGTTGACTGTGTTTGGAGCTCTGCGCCAAATGCTCTCCCATATAATCCTTACAGCAGCCCTGTTATCCCGCTGTCCTCCCCACTTAACAGACAGGTTAAGAAATCTGAAAATAGCCACTCTGTTGCTACGTGGAGCAGCAATCCAAGGTTGCCTGATTTCTTTATCACAAATAAGAGCCCTGTTCTTTATCACAACCCTGTCCTGCCTGCCACTTTCTGGCAATTCCCCATCATCCCAATTCTGTTTTAACCTCAATTAGGCCTCTATGATATTAATTCCAATTGACAGGGTAGAATTTTACAAGTGGAAAAGACCAAGAATGGCATCTCAAACAGAAAGGACAGGAGCTTAATCATAGGAAACAAACTGAGGGTTGCTGGAGGGGGTGGGATGATGGACACTGGGGAGAGTATGTGTTGTAATGAGCACTGGGTATCATATAAGACTGATGAATTACAGACCTGTACCCCTGAAGCAAATAATACATTACATGTAAATTAACTGAATTTAAATAAAATAAAAAGAAAGGACAGCAGCATGGAAAAAGTCAGAGAGGTAGGAAAATCCAACCACTGCGTTAGCACTGGTCCCTTTGTACCGGATCTAAGGATTTGCGTAGGGCAACAGGGAGAAACCCTCCAGGGAAGGTGCTGTGTGTGGGAGGGTGATCAGTTACTGGAGTGTGAGGTTAGCATCCCGGATCAAATCTCGCGGGATGGTTTGGGATTTGGAGTTTGGAAAATTTTCAGTGTAAGGTAATTTTACGTTCCCACAAAAGTTAAACCCTACTGTTTTCTACCACCATGACCACCATCGCCACCACATGTTGTGCCAAAGCCCTGTCTACAACTACCCATAGTGTTCAGATACCTTAAGATCCTGAGGGCAGTGAAGCTTGGAGGGCTGGACTAAGCCACAGACGAAAGAAAACCGGGCTCAGAGCCTAGTGCAGCCTTGGAAAACCTGATGGGTCCCACTGAATATTTGCGAAACTAGCACTTAGTGAGCCCGTGGCGAGCGAGCAAAGTTCCAAACAAGAGCCCTGTTCTGTAGATGGGGAAACTGAGGCATGGGCGTTTAGATAAGTCAGGCCTTAATTCGGGACAGCTGGACAGGAGTCAGGCAGGATCTGGAGCCTAGGGAATCACCCACTAAAGTCGGAGATGGTGCGGGGGGAGGAGAGGGGAGAGGCAGTTCTGCGGCTGAGTTGAAGGAGCCCACGGGAGGTCGGACGCGGGGCGATCCACACCGACGGATTTTCGCCAGCTGCTCTCGGGAAGCGCACCCACCGGGATGCCGAGTCATGGCGGCCCGGCGAGAGCCAGAGAACTGCGCCTCCGAGGAGCCGCACGGAGCTCCTACCACGGTAGCCACTCTCAGGAGAGGGCGGTGCGCACGAGCCTACGTGCAGCCAAGGCGGGATCGGCGCAGGTCGGGGGCGGTTGCGCGCACGCGTCTGCGTGTGGGCTCGCACGTCCGGGGTGCACGTGTGCGCATGTCCCCGCGCTTAGGGGGTTGGGGGGCGCTGGGGCGCAAAGAGAACTAGCAAACGTCTCCGTCCGCACGTCTGGGATGGACGTGCGCGCGCATGTGCGCAAAGTCTGAGTGGGGCGGGTGTGCGCGTGCGCACGCGAGCAGAAACGCGAGTGGGGTCGCCAGCGCCCCCTGCAGGCCGCGGGCTTGTTCTGCGTCGCGATGTTTGCCTGCGCGACAGAGATTTGTCGCTTCGGGATGTCGCCCCCAGATTTTCCCTGTGACTCCATGGTTAGGTGCTTGAAAAAAATTCCTTACCGCACAAAGGCGTGGGTTTCCACGAGAATAGAAAACTATAGTTACTAAAAAGCTATATAATCCTGCTTGCAGTTCTAATGTCAATTTCACGTCACAGTTCTGGTACAAACTCTGGTCATCATATATTATTCTTTTAGATGTGAGAGTTAATTCTGAGTCATTTTTTTGTATTTTTTTTTTTTTTTTAGCATTAGAATTTGCTCAATAATTTGCCCATCAACACCTCGTTTGGTCTGGCTCCTCTGGAATTGCTTCGCACTGCTCTGCACCCCGGCCATGTGGCCGTGAACAAGACTTGTCCCCTTCTCACAGGAGGCCTTCGTTCTAGTGAGAGGGATAAAGGCAAACTCAATTCCAGGGGAGGGCTAAGTGCTGTAATGAAAAACAACGCGAGGGTGCCTGGGTGGCTCAGTTGGTTAAGCAACTGCCTTTGGCTCAGGTCATGATCCTGGAGTCCCGGGATCGAGTCCCACATCGGGCTCCCTGCTCGGCAGGGAGTCTGCTTCTCCCTCTGACCCTCCCCCCTCTCATGTGCTCTCTCTCATTCTCTCTCTCTCAAATAAATAAATAAAATCTTTAAAAAAGAAAAACAATGCGAGTAGAGGCTGGGCTCTGGCCCAGAAGAGAACAAATGGAGGCAGAAGCAGGGAGCACTGTGGGAACAGAAGGCAGGTGGGCACTGGGGGAGGGATGCTGAGGTTGGCAGAAGTGTATGGGAAACCCTGAGGCCAGAGAGGGAAAGGCAGGAGCCAGGTGAGGACCAGATTGTTGGTAGAATATTTAAGAAAATGATGGAATTCAAATGTGCTTGAAGATAGATTTGTGGGACCTGCTAGATGAGGAGAGTAAAGAAAAGAATTAAGAATGTCTTCTAAGATTTCTGCCAGAGCAGCTGGGTGGATGGATGGTGGCACCTCTTAGCAAGGATGGACAAGATGGGGCTGTTGCCCCTAAAAGACTGAGTTTTCTTCTCCAAAGAAGACTGAGTTTTAAAAGCAGAGACTGCACCTTCTTTTCAGCCCTGGCTCCTAGCAAAGGCCTTGCCCCTAGGTGACTTTAGATGTTGAAAGGAACATGACCTCCTAAAACAATCCTTCCTCCTCACTTAAGCCTATATTCCAAACTCAGCCCCAGTACTAGCCACACGCAGTCCCCCCACCAGACATGCAGAGGCCTGAGCCCAGCCAGCCTACCCTTGTGGAATCAGAAGGCCAGCTGTGTGTGTTACTTCCAGGAGGCTGCCCCTGGACGTTCCTCAGCATATGTGGCTGGGAGGCAACCAGTCATGCTTTCCATGTACATGGCTTCTTGGCATTTGAGGAGCTGGCCATTGGAGGGGTCTATTTTCTCTGTGTCTCCAGATCAGAAAGCAGGTCACAACAGTGGTCACACAATGCACAAAGGGCCATCCCCTCAGAGTGCCACATCTGTTCAGGTTTCCACGCTCACCCATCTGGCACGTAGCCCGGCCCCAGGACTCCTCTTCTGTCTCCACCACTGCTGGGAATTGAAGTCCGTGAACAGCACCACGTACTGGTGTCGAACAGGCACATGCTTGAATAAAAGGCTAGCATTTTAATATGCACTTCTAGTGTATTTCCTAGCACACTCATACAACACAGCTGTTACTAAGTAGCCTTGTCCTGAGGTGCATTTTGAAGGCTCTGGGTCTTGGTCCCCATGCTCAGCTTCTGGGCATTTCAGCAGAAAGAAGCCCAAGTGGTACTATGTTCATATCCATTTTCCTGAGTTCATGAAAGAAAGTTTTGATCTGTCTTGCTGTAAGTGAAAAGAAGTTGAAATTCCCCTGTAACCCACCCTCCTTTTGTGGTTCCCACTGAACAAGCTTTCCTTTTACTAAGCAGGATGACATCATCCAATGAGACGAGTCCTCGTCCTTGAAAGATATGGGCTCTTTGCCAGACATGGGGTCCCTGGCAGAGCAGGGGGAGAGCTTATCCCTGGGTCCGTTCCTTGGAAAAGCGAGCTGGGCAGTTCACAGTGCCCATGGTTGGTGGAATGTGGGTGCTGGCAGACCACAACCCAAGGAGAGAACTTGCATCCTTCCAGATGGTCTCCTTCACCACGCCATTGGCTCTGGCCCCACAGAGGCCTCTCCCAGCTTTGGCTTTAGGAAAGCCGACTGGAGAGGTGTGGTAGGTTGTCTGCTTCCTGCCCAACCACCGCAGCTCATCCTAACACTCTCGGTGGTCTTTCCTCTCGCAAGGCCTCAGAACCAGAGGACGAACTGACCTAAAAACCAATGTGGGTGCAGCTTGTCAAAGTCATGAACCAGGCAGGGCTTCTGGCCTGTCTGCTGCAGTTCATTTCAAACAGAGATACAAAATATTATTAAATGTATATTTTTAATAAAGCCAATAGTTATTTTACTTATAGGAGCTTTAAAAGGAAGATACAAAATGTAGAGTTCCAGTTTGGAAGCGTTTAACTATTCACACGATGTCCTGCTGATGCCCGAGCAAGGCAGTCACGCCCGGCCATGCAAAGGACACACACACACACACACACGCACACACATGCGCTTTGGCGAGACCCCTCTGCCCAGCGCAGCACCTGGAATTACCAGTGTTCAGAGCAAGGCGGTGCCGAGAACACAGCACCTACGAGGAGACCACACAAACAGCTTCACACAGTCTCACAGCCCACGGAGATGGCGATTACAAAATGTCCCGCTTAATCGAGAAAAACAGACTGGAGAGTGACAACGTGGCGGTATCAATGTCACCTGCACTGGGGCGTCAAGGGCTGACCTCCGTCCAGGGTGAGGTCTTTGGGGAGGCACTATGAAAACAAGAGTACTTCAGTATAATCGAACTTGAAATACAAGGTACTGTGGACACGTTACGGAAGGAGAACAGAGAACTATCCTACAAGGAAAAGAGCCACAGACGTCGGACAGATTAGTGCACACACTGGGACAGCGAACAGACAAGAGCCACGCAGGGTCAGTGCAAAGCACGGGCCTGAAGAAGTCTATGTACAAAAGAGTTCTCTGTAAACATGGTGAGGTGAACGTTCGGAAGCCGCGGTGAGAGGATCGTAAGTGCAGGCAGCAACGACATCCCCACACAGCACAGAAGACGACACCCGAGGCCTGGAAACAGCCGGGCAACACAGTACTAAAAGGTCAGGTGGCTGGGCTCAGACACCCGAGGGGGCCTCTCTCATTAGTGTGTATACATACATATACATATATATTTTTTCTTTTTGGTATTTTTAAATATAAATTTACTTATATCCGTAGAAAAATGAGAACATAAATGTGTTATTACAATGTCTGCTGGAAAAGCTTATATGGAGTTAGAAAGAATAAACCATTTATTAGTAGTTAACATATATATTAAAATGGTTTAATGATTTAAGAAAATATAAAAAAAATATTAATACTGTCAAACTTTCATACCAGAAAATATTATGGATTTTTCTCAATTAGACTTTTTCAAAGATGAAATATGAAAAATTTAAATAAGTTTTATATAAAGAACTTCTGAACCTCGATTAATATACAGTGGGATGTCTACTCTATAGAGATATATGTATCATTATTTCTCAATTTAAGCACCATTCAATTCTTCTGGATCCATTCTGGCTGGAAAATATCCCTAAATCCACAGGATGTTATCTCTTTAATGGCACATGTTAACTGAAAATGAGGTGGTTTTGTTCTTTTTTTTAAAGAAAAGACTTTAAATTAATTCCTATCTACATCTTAATTGGTTTGTCTTGAGCCAGCTCACAAATGTTACTGCAAGTTCAAGTGCAGGTGTCTCTGTGCAGCCTCTTGACCACACCCCCATGTTTGGAGACTGTGTCAAAGCCTCTGGCCACGTGTGGATCTGAGGGCAGCAGGTGCAACTTTATCCTGCACACGGACGCAGCCAGCTGGCTCATCTCCATGCACCATCAGGAATATGCCCCTGACATCAGTTTTACGATCCTGCTTTTGTAAATCCGGTCAGGACTGCACCCCTTGGGTGCTGCTTGGGGTGGCGAGGGGCTGCCCACCCACAGAAAACCCCAGTGATTGCTTCCAATCACAAATATTCTGTATTTTGCCCGTTTTGTATAAGCTTAAATAAAGATAGTGTTGAACAAACCTCCAGCCTCTATATCTGTTATCTTAAAATATTCAATGCTTTTTAGGCGGGAGATGTTTTAACTAGAAACCTATATGAAAAATAGCTATAAAATACAGTGATTGATGTGGTCATCACTCAACATGTTAAGAAGGGGGAGGGGGAGGGTTTCAGAAGAATGGTCAGTTTTGCTCTCAGCCTTCAGGCCTGATGCCTTCCCAACACACACAGTGGGACTACAAACTCGAGAGCCGTGTTTCTCAAAGTGCGGCCTATGGCCCACCTGCATCAGAACCACTGGGGGAGCTATTTAAGCTCAAAGATCCCCCAGCATCTCCCTGAGGGTCAGAAACCTGTTTCTAGCTGGCCCTTCAGGGCTCTGATGCCTCAAAAGTTTGAGAAGCCAGGCCTTAAAGGCTTGGAGCTGCCAACTACCCCCATGCCCAAGGATCCCTGCCTGGGACAGGGGGGCACTGGTCCTCTGGGGGGCTGGTGCCAGCTAGTCAGCCCTGGGGTGGGGACACTGGCCCCGACAGCTCTGGGCAGGCAGGCAGGCAGGCTGGCCCTGGGTCAGTACTGGGGCAAGTAGGCCGGCCTGCGCTCAGCCTTCCCAGGGAAGGCCTTGAAGCCCTTGGGTGCTGCCTTGTGTGCTGGTGGGGGCGGGGGCTGTGGTGGGGTCTGCACATAGGTGAAGGAGGCGGTGCTGCAGTCGCTGCTCGCGGCCCACACTGGTGACTGCAGCATCTGCATGGTGTCGTTCCACTGGCTGCCAGGGCCGGCAACTGCGTAGAGTGGTGCGCTCGGGCTAGGCAGTGTGCTGGGCAGCGGGGAAGGGTGTTGCCAGGGTGCTTTGGGTGGCCACGTTTTGGTTTTGTTATCCTGAGAGACAGAAGAGGGTTCTTAGTGGCACTGCTGGCAATTCGTCATCTTTTCCCACCTCCCCAGGTCCCTGGGCCCATTTCCACTAGGAGACAGGGTAGGAGCCCCAGCCCTCCCACAGCCTGGAGCAGCGCTGTCCAGCTCAATTTGCAGTGATGGAGGGGATCTGCGTCTGCGCTGCTCCCACGCAGTGGCCACTCACCACATATGGCCAGTGCCACTAAGGAACTCAATTGGTATTTATATTTGATTCATTCCAACTTAAATAGACACATGTGGCTAGTGGCTATCACAGTGGATGGCACAACCCCAGGGCTTCCTCTACATTTGGCTCGGAGATGAGATGGTTAATCATGGCGGAAAAAAGTTGTTCACCACAAAGAACCCGTCGTTGCTCTGAAGCCCTCTTAAAACTTAAGCTTTGGAACCTCGCTCATGGTCTGCACCCCATACAGCTGGCCCTCCGTGGCCAGAGCAGGGCCCACGGTACCTGGTTCATGTCCTCCACTGCGGTAAGAAGAGGTGGGGAGGGCAGCGTGCTGGTCTCCTGCTCTCCACTGCTGTGTTTCCTGAAAGAATCAAGAGCGCAGTGCAGTGGGCACCTGGCTTGCTGCCCCACTGACCTTGACACGCTAGCCACCTGGTTCTGGGCGCTGGTTCTAGGTGGGGAGACCTTGGGCCCAGTGCATGCGGGGGGATCGGGTGGGCGGCCAGTGAATGGAGCACTCCCAGAAGCCATTCCCGGGCTTGGGGAGGGGCGGGGTGGCAGGTGGTGGCTGTTTCAGCTGCTCTGATCTACTGGCTCGGGCTTTTAACATATTCAACAGATACTGTTCACCATACCCTGGGGAAGTGGGACTTAAAAGACTGTTAGTTTTAACTACAAACATGAAAAATTTCTGTTACAATGTTGAATGAAAAAGGCAGGACGGAGCAGGCTCCGAGCCAAGTAAATGAGTCTGTCCGTGCTCCCGTCCGTGCTCCCGTCCGTGCTCCCGCCTGCAGACAGCAGTCTCTGTAGAGGCGGTTCTACCATTGGCTTCCTCGGCATCTCATCGGCCTCTCCGACTGCCCTTGTCTAAAACAGACATCTTAGCCGCTACCCCTGGCTCAGTCGTGCTCCTACTGCATCCTCCTGTCTCAGTTCATTGGCACCCCCTTTCATATAGATGCTCCAGCCAAAACCTTACATATCATCCCCAATTCTTCTCTCTCACACATACCCCATTGCCAATTTCTCACCAGGTCCCTCATTTTGTTCAGCTGTCTGCTCATCAGAGGCCTCCCTGACTCCCATGTGTGTATGTGTGTGTGTGTGTGTGTGTGTGTGTGTGTGTGTGTGTATATATATATATATATATATATATATATATATATAATTTATTTTTTTTTTTTTAAGTAGGCTCCATGCCCAGTGTGGAGCCCAATGTGGGGCGTGAACTCATGACTCAGAGATTAAGACCTGAGCCAATATCAAGTCGGATGCTTAACCGACTGAGCCACCCACGTGACCCCCATATTTTTCTTCATAGCAACTAACCCAACCTGACATGTTTGATTTTTCCTTTTTCCTTTTCCTTCCCTCCCTTTTTTTTTTTTTTTTTGGGAGTAGCCTTCATGCCCAACATGGGGCTTGAACTCATGACCCTGAGACTAGGAGTCTCCTGCTCTATCAAATGAGCCAGCCAGGCACCCCTACTTTTAAAAACTTCTTAGACCTGAATATACTCTATTATGTTTTCTTTTCAACTTTGATGAAGAAACTAAGGATCAGAGAGGGCCAGGTTCATCTCCAGGACCCTCCCTTGCCTCATACTGGTATTTTTGGCTACTACTTGCGTGAGACTGTTCTGCCAGCAAAGCCTCAACCCAACGTTAAGTCACCTGGGCTACAAGCAAGCCTGCATGGTAGCCGCAGAAGATTCAGCAAGGCTGTGCTAGCAGAAGCCCTCTGCCTCTCTCACACCAGGCTGACAGGGAGCCATGAGGTTCCTGAGCTTTCCAGAGGAATAAGCTGGGGATCACATTCATGTACCCCTCTGTCCTTTGTCTTTAGAAATCTCTTCCTACCTTCTCTGCTTGACAGCGGCCACGAGGTCAGGCCCTGAAAACATGGAGAACAAGCTGTCCCCGTTGGCGGAAGACGTCTCATCACTTGAACTGGCGGAGTCCCCCTGAGCACCTGACCAGCCGCTGTGCAGACCGTCCCTGAAAGCCAGAGAGAGAAGCTGATCCCGGGCCTCCTGCAGCTAGCCTGGACACCAGCCGGACAAGCCTGAGGCCGCCCCCACACCACCAGCCCAAAAGGAACAATCTTTACCCTGCACCCATCTAACAACCAGATGACAGTCTCTTGTCTCCCCTTCTAAAAATCCAAGCTTTCCTTCCTGTCCTCCCTTGTTTCGAAAATAACATGTACTCGTCGCTGCCCTTTATTCTTGCCAGAAGCCTGTGCTTTGCATGTGAAATTCATGTTAGAGCAAAAAGCTGAAATGGTCTTTAGCTGTCCAGATTTATTAACTGGGTAGCAATAAGAGATGTGAAAAATCAACCTCCCGTTGTCTTTGGGATGCAAATCCGCAGTTCTCTGGGTACACTGGCATCTGAGCCATACACCTTTGCTTTTTGGAGGCTACAAGGATCCCATTCCATGAATCGCATGGGTTTCACAGCCATGCCCATTTCAGCATAGAGACCATGTTAAACGCTCAATGACCTCACAAACATCGTCAAATAAGTTCCTGGTTCCGGGAAGAAAAGTCTGTGCTGAAAATCATCACTTCCTACCAATAGTGTGTTCACAGGGACCCATCATGCCACTTGGCATCTTTGGGTCTGTCGCAAAACCGTGACCGCTTGAAGATCTGACCAGATGTCACTCTCTCACAGGGGGCCTCGGAATCAAGTTGCCTGATAAGAGTGCACGAGGGCCCCCTGGGGGATACCCAGTCCCCAAACTCAGTTTCCCTGCCACCCCCAGCACTCACCCTTCTGTGAAGAACTCCGGGAAAGGCCAGGTCCGATGGGCATCGTCCATGGGGGGCCAGTGGCCCCGGGGGTGGCCTGGGCGGCGGCCGTGTTGCACTTGCCGCTTCTGCTGCATTGCCTGGCTCACTCCTGCCACATAGCGAGCAAACTCGGGGTCCGAACCCACTGCGTTAAGACAAAGGGACAGAGAGGGGCTGGGGACACACTGGCCTCTCGTTTCCTTCCCTGCCTCCCGAGCATGTGTTGGTCACACATGCAGTGACAAGCGGGGAGGTGCTGCCAGGCTTGTGGCCTCGAGAGCCAAGGAGCTGGCTGCAGGATTGGGGCTTTCAGCCAGGTGTCTGACCTGGGGTACAGGGTGTGCACAGGGACTGTCAAGAAGGGTTATGCCCAGGACAGAGGCAGCTGAATGCGACCGAAAGACCGAGAGAGAGAACACAAAAGAATCCATGATTAAAGTTTAAAGACAAATACCAGATACTTAACAATGTTCCAATGTCTGTTGCTACGTACATAACAACTTAGAAAATCACATGCTTGATGTCTTTAGCGAACTGATAACCTGCAAGTTGTAAAAGCATCAGGGTCAGCCAGAGAGAGGTATGTCATTGCCACGTGACCCAACTCGAACCCAGGATTTTCCTGGATATTGGATGGCAGACCTACTCATTCCATGTGAAGATAGTGAGAGTGGTAATGAATGAGATGACATTTCAGAATTTCAGAGGTATTAAGAGGTGACTGGAAACATACTGGCCAGAGCTGAGTAAGGATGGGCAGGACAGTACAAGTGGGAGAAAAAACAGCATAGAGGACATTGAGAGAAAAAGTCAAACAAGAAGATACGGCAGGAGGGCGCCTGGGTGGCTCAGTTGGTTAAGCGTCTGCCTTCGGCTCAGGTCATGATCCCAGGGTCCTGGGATCGAGCCCCGCATCGGGCTCCCTGCTCCACGGGAAGCCTGCTTCTCCCTCTCCTCCCCGCTCATGCTCTCTCTCAAATAAATAAATAAAATCTTTAAAAAAAAAAAAGATGCCGCAGGAAGGTATCTATTGCTCACAAGCTGAATATGACTCAGCAGTGTATACTTCTCAGCTTCCGGCTGGGAAAGATACTAGGACAAAATCTCATTCTTAGCTCATCCTCAGGGCACTGCCACAGGACTGCTGGTGAGTCTGCGCACTGCACAAAGATGCCCACACCAGGGGAGGGGAGGGGCTGGGCCAAAATCAAGGCCCCCTTCTCAGTGGGTCAAGCCATGCCTCCAGGGGCTGTGTGCCCTGTCCAGACGGGGCACTCTGCTCTCACTGGCCCTGCCTGAGAGGGGGCTTTCTGTGATTCATCTATCGGGAGGAGTGCCCTTCCTTTATTTGGGGAAAGGGCAATGTAGATCTTATGCCCTCAGGGCGGGGTCTGCAGGAAGCTACATTAGGGACCTGCAGGTCAGATAGGAACTAACTCACGGAAGATAAAGCTAATAGGATTTGTAGCTTAAAGACAGAGAGGCCATCCAGGCCTCATCAAAGATCAAAGACGGTAAAATTCTGCCAAACACTGTTTATACTCTGGATTTAATTACATGACTATCAAAAGATGTAGACTGTTGAATAGCAGTTGAAAAAAATGTGCCGTGCCACGCCCACCCCAGTCAGTGGCAGCTGGGTGGGGCCTGTTCTTCTGGATGGGTGGGGGGAACCCTGGGCCCTTCCTGTGCCCCAGGGTCCAAGGATGCTCACATCTACCACCCATGGGGAGCAAGAGCAAGAAAGCGTGAGCAGCAGCATGAGGGATTCTTAGAAGACCTAAGAAAACATTTCTTTTCATTCGTAGCTAATGCTGGGTTGTTTTAGTAGGGAATTCCTCTTCTGCTGGTTATTTATATAAATATTTGCAATAATTATATATTTCACAGTATTCTCCTTAAATGAAATATATTTTCCACCTGTATACCTTTTGCTAAATTAGAGAAAAGAGTAACGGATTTCTACATATTTATCTTGTATCGACCCACCTTATCAGATTCGCTAATTCTAGGGGTTTTATTTTTTTATTTTATTTATTTTTATTTATTTATTATTATTATTATTTTTTAAATTTTTATTTATTTGACAGACACACAGCGAGAGAGGTAACACAAGCAGGGGGAGTGGGAGAGGGAGAAGCAGGTCTCCCATTGAGCAGGGAACCCGATGCGCGGCTCGATCCCAGGACCCTGGGATCATGACCTGAGCCGAAGGCAGACGCTCAACGACTGAGCCACCCAGGCGCCCCTAGGATTTTTTTTTTTTAATCAAGGAGTCTCGTCGAGTTTTTTCCCCCCCTCCAATTCTATTGCCAGCAAAGAGATGTGCTTTTCAATGTATCTTTTTCTATAGCTTATACATGTCTTGCTATGTTTGCTAGCAAGTCCAGGACAAAAAGTTAGTTACACGCTATGGGCAGTAACAGTTGCCACCCTGTCTTGATTTTAACTGGAATGATTTTGTTTCACTATACAGAGTAATACTTGCTCCCGGCCCTTGGGACATAGTCTTTCTTTAATTGAAGAAATTTATTTCTATTCATGTCTTAGTTGGAGGGTTTTTTTTGAATCACTGGTGGCTTTTACCAAATGTCTTTACAGCATCTGTTGTTGTCTGGCCGCTCCTGCAAGTGGGGTGATGCCAGGCATTACTGAGCAGCGGCAGAGCTGGTCCGCTGCCCCACCTGCCACCCCCGCAGTACCGGAGCAGTAACGGAGCTGCTCTTCCCATCACGGCTCCGGGGTCCAGCCTCCATCCACACTCCTACAGAGAGGACTATGGTTTGCTTTTTAAATAACCCTTATAACGTTTTTAAATCTTTTTTTTTTTTTTATTTGGCAGAGAGGGACACAGCGAGAGAGGGAACACAAGCAGGGGGAGAGGGAGAAGCAGGCTTCCAGCTGAGCAAGGAGCCCGATGCGGGGCTCGATCCCAGGACCCTGGGATCATGACCCGAGCCGAAGGCAGACGCCCAACGACTGAGCCACCCAGGCGCCCCAACCCTTATAACGTTTTTATGGTAAAACCATGTTGGCTTCATAATTACTGTTCCAATTTCTTCCACTGAAACAGATCTGGGCAGGTTTTCCACTTCTTGGTACAATTTTGGTGATGTGCATTGTATTAGGAAAGAAGCCATTTTTCCAATCAGTTTTCAAAGATGTTGTCATATGTAGAAACGTCTTAAACTTCTTTTACTCTCTCCTGTTTCTGGAATGACATCTTCTTTCTCTTTCCTTTTTTTTAAAGATTTATTTATTTATTTATTTTAAAATTTTATTTATTTATTTATCAGGGGCGGGGGGAGAGCGTGCACACAAGCAGGCGGAGCACCAGGCAGAGGGAGAGGGAGAAGCAGGCTCCCCGCTGAGCAGGGAGCCCGATGCTGGACTCAATCCCAGGACCCCGGGATCATGCCCTGAGCCGAAGGCAGAGGCTTAACCGACTGAGCCACCCAGGCACCCCTCCTTTCTCTTTCCTAAATCTCGTTTCTCTTTGCTCTCTCTTATTGAGGCTTACAATAAATTGGTTTATCTATTTTGTTGGTCTTCAAGAGACCCTTCTTTTAGATTTTTATAATTTATACTATATTTTTCTTTTAAATTTCATCAATCTTGGCTTTTCTCCTTAATTATAATTACTTCCTCCTCCTAGTTTATTTTTGTTTGTTTCTAAGTTCTTTTTCTAATTTCCTAAGATAACTCTGGTGGTATTTTCACACTGTTCAGGCCAGGAGAAGCCATATTCTCCGAAGGCAGGAGGGTGCTCTACCACCTTTCATAGGTCCTAGTGTTTAAGCAAAGAATCACAGAACAGGTTATGTAATCAGAAGTGCAGCTCACAAAGGGCCTGCCGCCTTGGCTCCCACAAATAGGAGGGCCCACACAGGAGCCCACTTGAACTATGAGACATGGAGCCATTCAAGGAACTTCTCTTAGCCTCAATCCAAGCTTCTGTACAGTGAGAGAAATAATGGTCCTGACCTTCTTAGCCTCACTCTCACCAAGGCTGCCTACCTTTGCTGGATGTGTCCCATACTTACCATCCGACAGCGAGAAAGGGTCTTTAAAGAGAAATTAGGTCACTTGCCAAGTGTCCTAAGTAAGTAGGCTGTGTCGGATGGGCCCTATGAAGTCCTCAGTGATTATACTGATGTGAAAACCCCAAGGGGAGGGGAGGCGGGTCCACATACCTGCAGGATCAAAAGGCAGAATCTCTCCCAACATCCCAAAGACTCCATCACTTTGGTCACGGTTTGGCCAGGTGTTATTTCTAGGTCCCTGCGGCTTCTGCCCCAAAACCTCCGACATCACATTATCCATATAGCTGCTCACCAGACCCAAGCTGTACAAGTCAGAACTGAGATCAGATATGCCAGGCCACTGGCCAAGAGGAGACAGACCTGCTCCGACAGGCTGGGCTGGCTGCTGGGCTGAGCCGTGCAGCCACTTCCCCGGGGCCCGAGGCTGGGGCGGGGGCTGCTGAGGTCCAATGGGCTGGAGCAGGGGTTGGTAGTACTGGACCTGCGGTTGCTGCTGCTTCGGGGACTGCTGCTGGGGCGCCAGGCCCGGCTGGGGGGTCAGAGGTGTGTGGGCCCCAGCCGGGGGTGGCCGTGGAGGAGGGGGCACTGGCAGTGGCGGCTGCATGGCTCCGGCCTTCTGTTCAGTCACTGTGGCTGCGGCAGCGGAATTACGCCTTGTCACCAACGGGGAGCCCTGATGTGACTGGCCCATGTTAAAGCCCGAGAGAAAATCGATCACCTCCTGCATTTCCTGATCGGTTGGTAGGTTCATGCCCTTCTCGTCCTTGCCATCATCCCCTGGCAGGAAGCCATCACGCCTCTCCAGGAGAAAACCATTGGCCGTCTGGTTACCGGAACCCTGCGCTGACTGTGAAGGGTCTGTAGTCCTAGGGAAATTACCAATGTTCAAAATGCTTTGTAACCTTGAGTCAATACTGCTGGGCATTTTGGCCTTCTCTTCTGAACACCCAGCTACGAAGAGGTTTTTGGAAGGGGTATTTGGGATGGAATAATTTGTGCTGCTGGAGCTGGTGCATGAAGCTTTCTTGGTGAAGCGGGATGTCAGTTTGGAGAAGGTCTTCTGCAGGCCGCCTGAAGATTTGTTTCCGTTCCCAGAAGGCAGGTCGGCCTGATTCCCAAAATCGCAGATCTCCCTCTGAAGCTGGATCTGTATGCAGGGTAAAGCTTGTTCCCTATTTAAACAGAAACGTATTGAAAATTACAAAAAAGACAAACATACAAATTGGACAATGAAATGGATCTCTCTGCATCTAAGAAAGACTCTAAGGACAAAAACAGTCTCTCTGGTTGGTTGGTATCAGGTTCACCTATTTTACAGATAAATAAAATGAACACCCCAGACTTTTAAGTGTACGTAAGACTGATCCAGCAGAGGGATGTGGGTAAATACACACAGCAAGGGTGGGGGTAGTGGTGAGTGGGACTCAGTGACACCACGGGGAACTGTTGACCTTGGAAGGAACTTATGGACAGTGCCAAGAACAGACGCTGGTTACTTCCAAGGTTTTCCAAGCACTTTCCTAGTACTGAAAGAGAGCCCCAGGGATGGAAAGTGGTTGGGGCTGAGGCAGGCAACGGCTGCTGTGACCCGGGACAAGCCACCGCAGTGTTCTGGGCCTCAGAGCTCGTGAGTTCAGAAAGGGGGCCCATGGCTGGATGTTCGAGGTCCCTACCATTCTGAAGTTCGTAATTCCCAGAGACAGTCTCGCAACTGTCAGCTGCTTTCAGATAGAAATAAATTTCATGCAGGATATAAGTAAATTTTCTACACATTTCTCTGGTCTTCGTTCATGAGAATATGAGTTGGGCTAAAAGCCCCTTGATGGACTTACTCTCAAATGATAAAACAAATGAAGACAAACATGGTAAGTAACTGAGGAATCTGGCCAAAGGTCAGAGAGCAATTCTTGTTACTACTGCAACTTTTCAGTAAGTTTGAAATGATTCCAAATTTAAGTGACCAAAAATTTCTTTTTTGCCTTACTTCCTCACATACAGTCAGTGATGTGAGCGCGCAGGAGACTGTACGTGGTCACACTGACCCTGAGTATGGGCCTGAATGTAAGCTACTTCAGGTGACCGGCAGGGACACCCACCTCCCTGCCCTCCAGCGGCTGAGGTCCAGCACGGCTGTGTAGAGCACGTCCACCAGCCCCAGGGTCTTCTCAGGATCGAGGCTTCTCTGCAGCAGGGACATGGTAGCGGGGTCTTCTTTCAGGCACCTAGGCAGGAGGCAGGCCGCATCAGTCTGGGCGGCTCTGCTCTGAAAAAGTGTCTCAAGTAGGCCTCATACAAAAGGTGACAATGTGTACATGCTTTTGGCACCAAATAAAAATTCAGTAATTAAAGACCAGTTAGAGAAAGACAAGGCTAACATTGGAACGTGCTGCTCTGCAAGAGGAGGAGCCACAGGGGCCAGGATCTCCCTGGATTTCTAGTCATCTAGAGTCTGTTTGGTAGGAAGAGAAGGGTTCGGTGGAAGGGCTACCTTCTGGGGCCCTGATGCCCTCTTACTGTCCACACTGGCTCCAGCCTTGACTTTCTGTTCCACTGTGTTCAGAGTCTGGGATCAGTATCTACTCCTCTGCAAACCCTTCCCAAAACACCCCTGCCCCCAGGAAACTAAAGGTCAATGGAGGGAAAAACCCGGACTTGCTGCAAACTTCCGGTAAGCCGCAAACATAGCCTTCTCACGTTAAGTGACAGTTTTCCCTTTCCAAGCTGACCACTTGAGCCCGCATCCCCTCTCCTCAGAGCTCGGCCATCCCTGCCGCTTCTCCTCTTCTTTCCCATCACAACTCTCACATCACTGAGAGGAGGTCTGCTCCCCACCGTCCCCACTAATTCACCAGCTTGAGTGCCCGTGCTCCCGATGTGCCTCTCTGGTCACGGTCAAGGTGGAAGACAAGCCCCACTCTGCCACCGGCTGCCCCTCCAGCCGAGCACTGCAGGCTCTTGTACCCTCCTGCTTTCCCGAGGACCCCGCTCCCCTAATCTCCCCTCTCTCCCCGTGACATTCCCCGGGGCCAACAAACAGGCCTCACGGACCAGCTTCTTTCTCTTGGCTCCACATTCCCCTCCAGATACTGCCGAGTTCTCTGCTCCCCCTTTTAGCAAAACACTTGGTCTCCTCCTCTTCCTCCTAGTCTCCCCTCACCCCACTCCCACTGGGCTTTGGTCCCTATAACTGCACTAGAATGGCTTTGATCAAACACCTTTGATCTCGCCAGTGTCAAAGGTCAATTACCTGTCTCCACCTTACTCAATCTCTCAGCAACGTGGTGCAATGCTTCTTTCCTGCCCGAGCACTATCTTCTGTAGCTTGGCGACCCCAAACTTGCTCAACTTTCCTTCCACCTGGCTGGCAAGCGCCTTCCCGGTCTCCTCTGCTGACTCTTCCTGCTCCACTTCCCCACTCTGTGTGGCGGCGCGTCCTAGGCTTTGTCTTTTCTCCCCACAAGGCTGCATCTGGGCCTGCAGCTGTATAGACCATCCTCCACTCAAGACTCAAATTTCCGGGCGCCTGGGTGGCTCAGTTGGTTAAGCGACTGCCTTCAGCTCAGGTCGTGATCCTGGAGTCCCGGGATCGAGTCCCGCATTGGGCTCCCTGCTCAGTGGAGAGCCTGCTTCTGCCTGTCTCTCTGCCTGCCTCTCTGCCTATTTGTGCTTTCTCTCTGTGTGTCAAATAAATAAATAAAATCTTTAAAAAAAAAAAAAAAAAGACTCAAATTTCCTTCACCAGCCGACCCCCTCCCCCTGAACCCCACTCTCCTGTATCTGACTGCATACTCAACATCTCTTGGGTACACCTAACAGGCAGCTTGGTCAGCACGACTGCTTCCTCTCCTCCCCAAAAACCACTCTGAACCTATACACTTCCTCCATAAGTCCACACACAGCTGTCTACCCCAAACTGACACATCATCCCTGGCTACCTACAGCCCACGCCAATCCATGAGCAAACCAAGCACTTCTCGCCACCTCTCTTATTATGACTCTACTCCAAGAAACCACCAGCACTTGTGTCTCAGGCCCAACCTCCCAGCTGGTCTCCTGTCCCTACTCCTGTCCCTCCCAACCCTCTGCACAGAGCCAGAGTGAGTCCCTGGTAACACAAATCAGAACACATCACTCCCCTGTTAAAAACTCTCCAGTGGCATCCAGTCATGATCGAAATAAAATCTAAACAGCCCTCGAGGGTTTCTGTGACCTTGTCCCTCCTGCCCCTGGCCACAGGTCTCTCCACTGTCACCTCCATTACCCTTGTCCCAGTCACAGGCCTTGGCTTGCTCCCTGAATATATTGGATTTGCCCACATCTCAGGACCTCTCCTTTTGCTGCCTCTGCCCACAATGCTCTCCCGAGAGCTGCTTCCCACCATTCAGGTCCTCACTACCCATTCAGGGTACCTCCACCAAGAGGACTCTTCTGAGAGGCAGAACCAGGAAGATGTTGTCTGCTGCTAGGCACTCTGGGAGTTAAATGGTGAAATCGACACTTGCAAAGCCATCCTAAGGAGGCAGCAGCACTCCCCAACATGCCTTAGGGCTTGAGAAGAAATAGGTCTCTGAGGATATGAGCCAGCCAGCCTCAGAAACACTGCAAAAGGCAAGCTCTGCCAGTGCCCAACCAGACCCTGGACTCCTGGGAGAGAATCTTGGTCAGCAGACCTGGCCAGGGTTCACGGACCCGATTCTCTCAGCCTGGAATTGCTGATTATTAGGACATCCTTGCTCTGAGCTCCCAAGCCACTGATGGCTGTGATTTGGCTGGTCACATATGTTTGCCCACTAGGGGAGCATTTGCTGGTCATGCGGAAAGAAGCACTACACTTGCTGGTGAGAATAATTTCTCTTTCTGAAAATCAACAAATCAGCACTTTTATTTAATTCATCAGTCCTGAGAGTTGATCAACAGAATCCCCTTAAGAGACTAAACCCATTCTTTTGCAAATCATGTAGACTTGCTTAAAACCCTCTACCTGCTCTTATATAAAAATCCAAGTCCCTCGGGGACCCTGTAAGCCCTGGTTTCTATGACTCTCTCTTTACGACCACCTACCACATCTCCAGCCATGCCAGTTCACTCCCCAGAAATCCTTTCCTCATCTGCTCTCTGCATGGCCGGCTCCTCTCCAATGTCATATCTTCAAGGAAGGACCCTTCGTGACTGACCTCATCCCAAACAGCCTCCCCTCCCCAGCGCCACCCCCGTTATTCTCCATCATATGACATCATTCTGCTCTTATCCCCTCATACATGTGCTGGGGTTTGAACTGAACTCTTATGCTTGCTAGCTGTCCCCTCACTCTCCCTCCCATTACAAAGTCAGCTCTATTAGGGGCAGAGACCCCATCTGTCTTGTTTATACTTAAATTCCCAGAGTCCAGGCAGTGTCTGCCACACAGTAGGTATTTAGTAAGTATCTGTTGAAAGAAAGAATGGATGGACTAAACTTAAATAAGACAGTTTAAAAAATCTAAATAAGGTATTACTTTGTTTGGGAAAAAAAAAACACATCTGGCAGTGGGACACTCCATTTTATTAAAAGCAAAGCATATAATAAATTCTTGACTGCCTTTGCTAACAATTTCATTTTTCCGAAGATGGAGTAAAGCAATCACTTCTGCTTGCATTCTTCTCAACAAGCGTGTAATTTATACTTTGAAAGAAACAAAAACATGTATTTTGGAAACTTTGTATTTTTACTAAAAGCAACCAGCAGAGGGAGCCTCTCCAAGAAATTATAGTTTATAAGGTCTTTCGTGGAGGTTCAATGAATTACAAAGGAAATCAATCATACATGGAGAGTTCTGGAAGTAAACTGCAGTGTTAACCATTTTAGTACTAGTCGTTTGTATTCACCCAATTATTCAAAAGTTCAAACTATTTTCTCTGCAATGAGAATCCTGGTTAAGTTTAATATTTTTCAATAAGAACCTGAATAGGAAAACAAATTAAGAATTCAGGGACACAAAAATCTTACAGAAAAGTGAGCTTTTGGTAGGAGTGAAGATATGTGTATAAATTACAGGTATGTCATCTCGGGGTGCCTGGGTGGCTCAGTTGTTAGGCGTCTGCCTTCAGCTCAGGTCATGATCCTAGGGTCCTGGAATTGAGCCCTGCATCGGGCTACCTGCTCAGCGGGAAGCCTGCTTCTCCCTCTCCCACTCCCCCTGCTTGTGTTCCCTCTCTCGCTGTGTCTCTCTCTGTCAAATAAATAAATAAAATCTTTAAAAATAAATAAATAAATAAATAAATAAATGTATGTCATCTCAATAATCAAAAAACTCATGGGGGGAGGAAACTGAAAGAAGGGAGGTTTTGGGACATGAAGTGAACTGCTCACCCTTACTTGATACATCAACAAGTCCTAAAACTTCTGGCAGCGTCTACCACTGGACCCTCACATTTCAGGACAAATGGTTTAAATACAACTCGAACGCATTATCCAGCTACCATTTTAGTCCACAAAGGCACCAAGATGCCATCATGCCTTACTATCTCTCTCTCTTCCTACCAAAATGTTTCAAAATTTTTCTATATGGTTAAATACTCATTCATATCATAATCTTACTAACAGAAGTCTTCCAACACATGCTCAATTTTTATTTTTTTTTTTAGATTTTATTTATTTATTTGACAGAGAGAGAGACAGTGAGAGCAGGAACACAAGCAGGGGGAGTGGGAGAGGGAGAAGCAGGCTTCCTGCCGAGCAGGGAGCCCGATGTGGGACTTGATCCCAGGACCCTGGGATCATGACCTGAGCCGAAGGCAGACGCTTAACGACTGAGCCACCCAGGCGTCCTTCAATTTTTACTATTAATAAAGTTATGATGCTGCTCCTTTAGCTGGATTCCTATGCATATCACAAGGATAAATCCCCAGAGGAGGAACTGTGGAACTCCTGAGGTCAGATCTCTTATTTTAGGCTTCTCATACACTGAACCCCTCCAGAAAGGCTGTGTGATTTATCCACCTCCTGTGCCTGTTTTTGCACAGTCTGGCCGAAACCTTATTTATTTTTTAAAAATTTGTTTATTATTCTAAAACAATTTAACAACATCTGGGCAAAATAACATCATATTGTTTCTTTACTCCGCCTTTATTGGGTGAGGTTACTCATTTTCTTCATCTATGTGTTGACAGCTGTGCTGTTTACTATATTTTTTCGTTACCTATTCATGCATCTTGCCCATTTTCTTACTAACTTGTAGGAGCTTCTGTTTTAATAAACTAAGAAGAGGGGCGCCTGGGTGGCTCAGTCGGTTAAGTGGCTGCCTTCGGCTCAGGTCATGATCCCGGAGTCCCGGGATCGAGTCCCGCATCGGGCTCCCTGCTCGGCGGGGAGTCTGCTTCTCCCTCTGACCCTCCTCCCTCTCATGCTCTCTATCTCTCATTCTCTCTCTCGCAAATAAATAAAATCTTAAAAAAATAATAATAAAAAAAAAAATAAGCTAAGAAGAATACTTTATCTACTGTAAGTTTATAAATGTAATTAAATAATTAAAAATAAAAATGGCTCAGTCTGTCCCCACACTTGTAATGGCATGAGCTCAAGATCATCAGGGTTGTTACTGGAACAGAGAAGAAGGGATTCTATGTTCTGTGCTCAGCTTTAGAGAAACACTGGTGACTTAGAGAAAATGATGGACTCAGTAACAAAGAGAAGATAATATTGCTCATTATGATCCATGAGTACATAACATTTTACTTACATGATTGGTCAAAAAGACTATTTTTCAGACATCTTGGCTTCCTTATCATGGCCTGAGAACCAGGACATACCACTGCACGTGTACCTGCCCAAGTAGCAAGACCTGATGTGCCACCTAACATGGGGTTTGTCCAAAACAAAGCAATCTTTTCAAAGATGTGCAAGCTTTAATCAGAGCCTAGGCTTGTGTTAATATAAGAGTCACGTTACCATGTGGACGGGACTTGAACCACAATTCTGGAGCCCTCTAAACTGATCTGGGGGGCATAGGCTTCTTTATTTTCAATCTGTGCTGTGTCAACTACCACCTAAGAGAAAGAGAGAGAGAGAGAAACAACAATCAGCTTTCCGAGAGGAAAATGGATCACAAACAAATCTAATACATGAGCCTGCTGATGCTGAGTGAGTCTGGCAAGAATGATTCCCATGGCAAGGAAGTTGTACAGAGGCCAGTCAAGAGCCCCATGAAGACAAATGCAAGTAATAAAGATGACTGAAGACAGTAATACTTCAATGAACAGAAACCAAATTCTGCGTGCAGGATGTACTGAACTTTGTAAGCACTTTCAGTACTTTTTCCAAGCCATAAATATGTTAATTAGGAATTATTTTGTTTCCTCTTAGTTTTTTTTTTTTTTACTTTACGCACTGGAAAGAAGTAAAACCGTTTTTAAAAATCTAACCACAGCTTCAGAAAAGGCCATTTGTAATGCCTGAACACAAACTAGAAGTGGAGGAAGCTTTTTTAAAAGATCATTTTATCCTCAGCCATCAATAAAAACAGAACTAGCTCAGAAAGGTAAAGATGATTCTTCTCTCAATGATTTATTTTCTTTTCCTTTTTTTTTTAAGAGACACAGAGAGAGAGAATGCATGAACAGGGGGGAGGTAATGAGGGGCAGAAGGAGAGAGAGAATCCCAAACAGGCTCCACGCCCAGCATGGAACCCGACATGGGGCTGGATCTCACAACCCTGAGATCATGACCTGAGCCAAAATCAAGAGTCAGAGGCTCAAGTGACTGAGCCACCCAGGTGCCCCAGTGATTTCTTCTTATTTGGAGTAGAGTCTTTAATATTACACAGATGATGTAGTAGCCTAGGTAATTTAGAGACTTTGACAAAACCATGAATATATTTTCAAATAACTAAAAGAATTTAAGAAAATAATCACAGAGTGCTTTAAAAATAAATCTGTTATGGCGTGCCTGGCTGGCTCAGTCGGTAGAGCATCCGACTCTCTTGATCTCAGGGTCATGAGTTCGAGCCCCACACTGAGTGCAGAGATTACTTAAAAAGAAATAAATAAATCTGTTAGATTTCAAAAGCCATGCAAAGCTGCTTATTATGATTCCAAATTCGGCCTCTAATGGAGCTGATTTCCACTGCTGTAAACAGAGTTCCCACAGCTGGTCTGCAATGTCCTTTGGAAAAGACTTCCTGTCCACGTAATAGCCATTGTTGGACCAGGCAGGTGTTTCCTCTCTCCGCCCATCTCTAGAGCCATAATCTAAAGGTTCTTTGTCAGTCACACACAAAGGTGCCCTGGGAGCAAGGAGTAAGGAACTGGAAGAAGTTTCTGCTCTCTCAATAACATGGGCCTTTTTTTTTTAACCTACAATGTTTTCCCAAAACAGCCTGTGTGTCCTTCTGCCTTACTTTTTACTCCTTTCTGGAGAATTTACGCCATGTTTCTCCTAGTTTCAGCTAAAATGATCTCTGGGAATATGGATCAATTTCCTAGAGGCAGCAGGCTCTCACATACTTCAGCAGGGAGCCTCCAGCTTACTCCTTCTCTTAGGGTGTTTCTGTATCAAGAACTACATCCTAAAAAAGGTATAACTTACCACTGTGGACAGGCCCTCACCTGGCCCTACATAAGACAGCACCACCCTGAGCTAGGCCACCTGAGCCCTCATCCGCATGAAACAAAAGGACAGCATCCTCCCCACAGTTCCATTCACGAATAAAGTAGGAATTAGAGTAAGAAACAGTTTTTTAAAATTTTCTTAATCTCGAGTTAGTTTCCTTTAACCACTGACTGAAATGCTGTATCTTTTCAAAAAGTAGTCATTTAGTTCTAGAAAGTGGGATCAAGTATGTAAGGTTATATGGGTCTTAGATGCCAAACAAAAAGCTAAATGGTGCTTTCAGATGCTGATTTCCTGATCCCATGCAACTCTGGCAAAAAAGTCACTCTTCTCTCCAAAGGTGAAAAGACTAAACCAACTTCTGAGTTGATGCCGTTATTTTATGGCTAAGAAGGAGATAAACAGAGAGCTGGGATACAAAGTGACTGGTGGGGGGACTACTTATACCATGGAGGTTTCTCAGAGCTGACATCAGGGAGCTAAGGAGTGAGTCACATAGAGACTAGAGAGGAGTATTCTCAGGTAAAAGGGGCAGCCAAGTGCAAAGGCCTGAGATAGGAAGAAGCTTGGCATGTTTGAGCATCAGAAAGACATCCACTGTCACTCCAGGGTAGGCAAGCGAGGCAAAGAGGCCTTCCCCATCAAATCATTATTAATGTATAGGTGTCTTTAAAATGAGGAAAACCTGCAACATCATTTTGCAACTAAGATCCCAGCAAATACATATTATATTATCAATCTATAAAAGAAAACAAAAAGGCTTTTTAATGCTGCTGTTCCTTTACCTTCTCCACGTGGTCTGCACCCTGCAGGACCGAAGAACTTTTTAAATTATTCAGTATTTCCACACCTGTGCCCACACCACATGTTCCCCTGCTGGAGGCATGGCTCCCGGATCTCTCTCCCATGCATCCCACACGTCTGCTCACCAGTCCAGCCTGGCCAAACAGCAGCTGCACGGCAGTCTTGCAGGCGCCCCGCCACGTGGACGGGCACACCTGGTTCAGTACTTCGGTCACAGGAAGATCATCCCTGGGTGTGATTCCATTGTAGCAGCCCGCCTCCTTGATCAGCTGTAACATCGTATGCTATGGATTGAAAAGACGAGAGCTCACTGCTCAAGATAAAGCTGTACAAGATTCTAAAATGTGTTGAAATGAATTTACAGGCACACAGTAGCCCTCAAGAAGAAAGCATTTTGTTTCAGTCCCCACCCCCCCAAATCACGTCATTTTAATGTCTCAAGTAATTATCATCAGATACCCTCAGGGAATACGGATACATGTACATTAATATGTACATGTGATTTCTATACTAGCAAAAAATACAGCATCATATAGCCATTTGCTGATGCAAGTTGGTTGAGGAATTTTGAAATTCTGAATCCCTCTAAATAAGGAGACAAAATCATCTGGTAAAAACAAATACCAATGAAAACCTCAACTTTATTTTGGATGACCAAGTGGTCAGGTATGCAGGCTCTGGAAACAGACTGCATAACCTCAAATTCCAGTCTACTCCTTTCTGGCTGTGTGAGCTTGGGCCTTCGTCCTTCTATCCGTCAAACAGAGAACAGAGCAGCACCCACTTCATGGGTGAACATTAAACAAGACAGTGCACATGGAGCCCTTGGCTCCATGCCTGGCACACATGATGCCCCACGAATGTGCATAGTTACTGCAGTTGTATGACAAGACTTCTCATTTAATTTGTGTAAGTCCACTAAACCATCAATTGTAAATAGCATTTTATAGTGCACTTTCAAAACACTTCATGTTAAACATTTAACAAAATTATGAATAAAACTTGCCAAATGTCTCATAAGTTACCATGGTCTGTTTTTAGACACCAATTTACTAATACCACCTGCTTTGACTTCAGTTTTGTTTAACCTATATTCTTTACAAGCCCTTAGGTGTCCCTGAAGCACTGTTTCCACATTCACACCCGGTTGCTAAAACCCCATGGAAAGCTACCGTCTTAAGTTTCAGGTTGTCGGCGGCTGATTCGTTGAAGGAGACGCCCTTCAGGAAGTGGGATCCTATCTGCACGGGGACGGTGGGAAGCTCACACTGCATGGGCTGCGGCGGGGTCTGCCGCCGCCCCGTCTGCTGTGCCTCAGCCTCGCTGCAGCAGCCCTGCAAGAGGTTTGGAGAGGAGAGGTGACCCACGGCACACCTGCCCAGATACCTGGTTCACTTGGGGTGGCGCATCTGCCATACCACAGCTCAAGAGCAACCAGAGAGAAAAGCATACCTGTAAACTGGCTTCAATTGCCTTTGGATTCAGGTGGAAACCAGCTTTCATTGCATATTCACAGTGGCCTAAGCTTTCCAGAGCTATTTTATAAGCCTGCAAAGAAATTGTTTTTTTAAGAATCAAGATTATACGGCAGATCATAAAATGACAACGTCCAGTGACAACAGAAATGGAAAATTTCTATAGTTAATTAAAAGACTTCAGGTCAACTACCATCTTACTAATCTTTCCAACTGGTTCAACATCACAACTCTACCTCCCTCCCATGTTCCTGTCCTCGGATAACTATGTGCCAGTTCTAAAACACTTACTTGCAAAGCACTGTCAATTTTCACGTTCAGTTCTTTGAGCTGGTGTTCAGGAATTGCTGCGCTCTGAGAACAGAAGAGCTGCTGAACTTCAATGCCTGCCAGGTGGCCGTCGCAGCCTCTTTCCCTCAGTCTGGATGTTGCCTGCAAGAAACAATGGCAGGTAGGTGACAGAGATGTGACAGACATTAGCAATATTTAAAAAACAAGAAACAAAAAACAAAAACAAAGTTAAAGCGAGGAACTATCTAAGCATTAGATGTACACCAGACTTTCCGGATTGTCTGTATTACCAAGTGAGCAGCCAGAAATTTAGGAAGATGAAATCAAGCATCTTTTTTTTTTTTTAAAGATTTTATTTATTTGACAGAGAGAGACACAGCGAGAGAGGGAACATAAGCAGGGGGGAGTGGGAGAGGGAGAAGCAGGCTTCCCGCAGAGCAGGGAGCCTGATGCGGGGCTTGATCCCAGGACCCTGGGACCATGACCTGAGCCGAAGGCAGACGCCTAACGACTGAGCCACCCAGGTGCCCCCCCCCTTTTTTTTAAGATTTTATTTATTTATTTATTTATTTGACACAGAGAGAGAGACAGCGAGAGAGGGAGCACAAGCAGGGGGAGTGGGAGAGGCAGAAGCAGGCCTCCCACAGAGCAGGGAGCCCATGCAGGGCTCGATCCCAGGACCCTGGGACCATCACCTGAGCCGAAGGCAGACGCTTAACGACTGAGCCACCCAGGTGCCCCGCTGAAATCAAGCATCTTGAAGAGAAAGCAAAGCTGACACAGCACCACTTTACTTAAGAAACCCTCGAAGGAAGATGTACCCGTCTGTTACTAATTTTTTTTATATGTCAAACCTTCATTTTTTTTTTTAAAGATTTTATTTATTTATTTGACAGAGAAAGACACAGCGAGAGAGGGAACACAAACGGAGAGTGGGAGAGGGAGAAGCAGACTCCCTGCCGAGCAGGGAGCCCGATGCGGGACTCGATCCCGGGACTCCAGGATCATGACCTGAGCCGAAGGCAGTCGCTTAACCAACTGAGCCACCCAGGTGTCCAAACCTTCACATTTTTTATTTCTTTGCTTTAAAAGACAGAGAAGCTAGAATATTGGCACTTGGAGTTTCCAGAATAATAATAATAAAAAAGAACACATAAGGTTAGGTGCTCCTCTACACCAAAGTAAAAAGCCACACCAACACAGAACAGGAAAAAAAGGTACATTGGAATGCTAAAGGAAAAACAGTACTTCTAAAATCTGCACAAAAAATTAAATACTTATTTTTCGGTCATTAAATATTTATGAAGAGCACATAATCAAGACAGAGAAACAAGAAAAAAACGAATCAATGTTTTGTTGCGATGAAATGTAAGTTACCTATCCATGTGGGTCAGGACCAGAGACTACAGAAAAAAATATATTTAATTTCTTAGACAGGAGGAAGAATTCAGGATGAACTGTCTTTCAATTTTTCCATGTCTATTTTTGTTGCAACAATATCTGTGCCACAAATGACATTTTTTAACAGCTAATTTTTGTTCTTCTTCTGTTCTTCTGGTGTAGGAGTTGTAATATTTAACAAGATTGCAGGAAGGTCATTAGTAGCTATAATGCTATAAAGTTCCCAAAGCTCCACAAATTACCTATGACTACCATTCCATCCAGTCCCTGAACTCTAACAGTTTCACAGTTTAAAACCATTTGACTCTCCTTCTAAGACTGTTTCACTCAAATATTTAACCCGCAAGGTCCTGTGTTGGGTGTCGCTGGATAGGCAGTCAGGTCCACAACCTGGTCCCTGCCATCTTGGAGCTGACAGCCTCATGGGCCAAACAAAACATTTACAGCATCTAAAATGGAGGAAAACACACCAAGGAAAACAGAACTGTAACAGGGAGCATCCTAGACACTGAGAAATCAGCATTTTGGTTATGAGTTTACGGAGAAGGAGGCAGTCAGCGGAAGTGTGGGATGGATGAGCAGACATGTCAGCGAAGAAACTAGAACCCAGTGAGCAAGGAGGAGAGTGGCCACAGATAAGGCTGCTGAGCAGGGCAGGAATCAGACTCTGTGGGACGAGGTAGGTCAGGGTGAAGGGTCTATACTTTACCCTAAGGAAATAGCAACATCATCCACTTTTTTTTTTTTCTTATAGAATATATATATTTTTTATTTTATTATGTTAGTCACCATACAATACATCATTAGTTTTTGATGTAGTGATCCACGATCCATTGTTTTCGTATAACACCCAGTGCTCCATGCAGTATGTGCCTTCCTTAATACCCATCACCGGGCTAACCAATCCCCCCTCCCCTCTAAAACCCTGTTTGTTTCTCAGGTCCGTAGTCTCTCATGGTTCATCTCTCCCTCCAATTCCCCCCCCACCATTTTTCCCTTCCTTCTCCTAATGTCCTCCATGTTATTCCTTATGTTCCACAAATAAGTGAAACCATATGATAATTGACTTTCTCTGCTTGACTTATTTCACTTAGCATAATCTCCTCCAGTCCTATCCGTGTTGATGTAAAAGTTGGGTATTCATCTTTTCTGATGGCTGAGTAATATTCCATTGTATATATGGACCACATCTTTATCCATTCATCTGTTGAAGGGCATCTCGGCTCTTTCCACAGTTTGGCTATTGCGGACATTGCTGCTATGAACATTGGGGTACATATGGCCCTTCTTTTCACTACATCTGTGTCTTTGGGGTAAATACCCAGTAGTGCAATTGCTGGGTCATAGGGTAGCTCTATTTTTAAATTTTTGAGGAACCTCCACACTGTTTTCCAAAGTGGCTGTACCAACTTGCGTTCCCACCAACAGTGTAAGAGGGTTCCCCTTTCTCCACAACCTCTCCAACATTTGTTGTTTCTTTCCCTGTCCATTTTTGCCATTCTAACTGGTGTAAGGTGATATCTCAGTGTGGTTTTGATTTGATTTGAAAGGCCCTTTCTCTTGGATTTACAGAGACTGTAAAATGCTGATGGTTAATGATGATGAACATTTTTTCATGTGTCTGTTAGCCATTTGTATGTCTTCTTCAGAGAAGTGTCTTTTCATATCTTCTGCCCACTTTTTGATTTGTTTTTTGGGTGTTGAGTTTGAGAAGTTCTTTATAGATCTTGGATACTAGCCCTTTATCTGTAGTGTCATTTGCAAATATCTTCTCCCATTCTGTGGGTTGCCTCTTTGTTTTGTTGACTGTTTCCTTTGCTGTGCAGAAGCTTTTTATCTGATGAAGTTCCAAAAGTTCATTTTTGCTTTTGTTTCACTAGCTTTTGGAGATGTATCTTGAAAGAAGTTGCTGTGGCTGATGTCAAAGAGGTTACTGCCTATGTTCTCCTCTAGGATTTTGATGGATTCCAACATCATCCACTTTTAAATGGAGAGTGATGGAGGATGGCAAGACAGGGAGGACAGAAGGGAGTTCATTTATTGCAGGGGTCAGGGGAGAGTAGTGATTCCCTAAATAAGGGCAGTGACAGAAAAGGACAGATCTGGGATAATACTTTGGGGGTGGGACCTTCAGGGCTTATGGACTGGATGTAGATATGACACAAAGAAAGGAAGAGAACTCTCAAGTTTTTTGCACAAAGGACCCAGTGTGGGATAGCAGCACGTGCTAGCCTGGGGAAAATCTGGGGATCCCCAGGGGTGTGGGGAAAAGCTAAGCCTGAGCCACCTGGATACCTGAGGTAAGCAAGAGCTGAATACAGAGGCCTGAAGCCCACAGAAGTGGACGGGTCACACATATTTGCAGGTCCCCAGCACACAGGCAGTTCTTAAAGTCCCAAGGGTAGATGGCGACCCTATAGGGAGAAGGGCACCCAGAACTGAGCCTTGAGAAACTGACATTCGTAAGTTGTGTTGGAGAGCGGAAGCTAGCGAAGTAGATGGAGAGGATGACCCAAGAGGTTAACACTTGGCTCAGGGAGGCCACAGGGAGAGAGAGTCTCCAAGGGCCCATATTGCCGAGAGTGCCGACTGGAGTCAAACGGTTCCCTGGATTTGGCCACATAGAAGACACCAGTGACCCTGACAAGTTAATGCCTGTTCTTGTGTAGGAGTGGAAGTCAGATTTCAGTGAGCTGAATGATGCCATTTATATAAAGTTTTGTACTGGGCAAAATAATAACTTATGTTATCTATGGATACATGCAGAGTAAAAATACAAAAATATGCACAGGACTCACAAACTCCTAATTCAAAAGAGGCTATCACTACAAAGGAAGGGATGGGAGTAAGACTGTAAAAAGGTACAAAGGGAACTCAGCTGCATTTGTAAATAATATTTTTTTTCTGTTAAAAATAAAAGGCATGAAAGGGGCACCTGTCTGACTCAGTTGGCAGAGCACGCAACTCTTACTCTTGGGGTTGTGAAGTCAAGCCCCATGTTGCACATGGAGCCCACTTAAAAATAAGTGAGTAAGTAAGTAAATAAAAGGCATGAAGCAACTGGTAAAAAGTTAAGATTCACTTGAAGAAGCTAAAAGAAGACAAGAGGGTATATGGGACATTTCCTAAATGCTTGAACTGTTTCATAATAATGTCTTTTAGAATGACTCAAAGGTGAGGTGGACAATTCCTCCAAGAAGCTGGCTATGAAAAGAACAGAAAAACAGAGGCAGGACATCTCCAGACACCAAGGAGTATTAAAATGCCTACAAGAAATGTGTTGTCCCTGACCACATCCCACCTGGCTGCCTGGCTGAGCACTTACCCTCCGCAGCCAGCTCTGGCCCGTCTTTCCAGACTGAGGCTCCAGCCTCTTCTCCCTGGCCCCTCTTCCTTGAAGCTCTGCGGCCCTGCTCCTAGTTGGAGGCAGGGCCCCTTCTCTGGGCTCCTGCACACCTCCATTACAGCCCTTTCACCCTGTTTTTGTAGGCCCTTTCTCTTAGGAGGCTGGGAGTAGAGGCTGTCACCCCGGTGCCTGGCCCGCGCCCGGCACAAAGTGGGCATTCACAAAGGCATTCACTGTCAAATGAATGAACAAGCGAACGGTAACAGTTTAAAACTAACACCTCTAAATAAAACACCTCTTTTAGGAACCAACAGGCAAAGGTCCTGTGGAGCCTCCGCTATTTGAACACAGGGTTCCCATCTCCCCCAGGTCAGGGTTACCTCAGCAGCCCCCCGCCAGGAGCGCACAGCTTCCTCCAACTCAGGCGTGTGGCTCATGCTGGAGAAGCCGCCGCCACCGCTGTTCTTTTTCTCTGGCACAACCACCTCGGCAAAGCAAGAGTGAGCCACCGGCTGGACCTTCTGTAAGGCCTGGGTCAAAAACTGGAAATGGACCTGCACCACTGTCAAGAAACATCGCCCCAACACCTGTGAAAACAAGAAAGCCAGGGGGTTTAGCTTGTGTGTGCTACTGCATTCGTGCGATACACTGTTAACTACCAATGTGGGCAGAAGGTAACAGTCCCCGGAAACCTGAAATCACAGGGAATTAGAGAGTCACCATGCTTTAGAAGGATCTTTGCGCTCATGTATGCACCTGGGTGTCAGATGTCTACAAGACAAAATGCTTCAACCAAATAGCAAACCCCAAGGTTCAAATGGGTCTTCCCAGTTCCCACCCAGCCCCCCACTCCTCGTCTCCATTCCCCTCACGTGCACTCTGGCTCACGCTAACCCTGGTTGCCTTTGGGCTCCCAATGAACCAGAGGAACTCACAGTTCCAGTTATATACACACAGCATTCAGAAGGCACAGTAAAAGCCATGTGATTGAAAATCTGAAAGGTCAGTTTGACTCTAAGAATTCTATTAGAAATGGAATCCAAAGATACAAGTTATTTTGGTAACAGTGTTATTAACATAGCTCTATGTCATAATTTCAGTCTTAGGAAACAAAGCTGACAGACCAGTCTTCTAGAAGTCAACAAAACATACTGGATGACTCTATTTATCACAACAGTATAAACTCACTCTCCTGATACATATCAGTAGTTAGTTGGTCGATGGAGCACTCCATTAAAGTAGGGAATTCATTAAAAAAAAATACTATATACAAGGGCGACTGGGTGCCTCAGTCGGTTAAGCGTCTGTCTTTGGCTCGGGTCATGATCCTGGGGTCCGGGGATGGAGCCCTGCCTCGGGAATCCCTGCTCAGCAGAGAGTCTGCTTCTCCTTCTTCCTCTGCCCCTCTCCCCTTCTGTGCTCGCGAGCTCTCTCTCAGGTAAATCAATAAAATCTTTAAAAAAAATACTATATATATAATACTATGCTAATATACACTGTTAATATGTAACTATAATAATTTATATGCCAAAAAAACTATATACCATAAGTATTTTAAGATACAAATGTGCATTTATCTGCCACCCTTGGCAATCGCCAAAACTATTCTCTGAATTTTTTTTTTTTTAGATTTTATTTATTTATTTGATAGAGAGAGAGAGCGAGCACAAGCAGGGGGAGCGGCAGGCTGAGGGAGAAGCAGACTCCCCGCTGAGCAAAGAGCTTGATGTGGAGCTCGATCCCAGGACCCTGGGATCACGACCTGAGCCAAAGGCAGCCGCTTTAACCAACTGAGCCACCCAAGGTGCCCCTATTCTCTGATGTTGTTATTCCCTGTTTGCTTTCTTGAGGTAACCCTAGCTACAAGGTGTTCTCTATGATTTCCTACTTCTTTTTCTTTAAAGGAGAGCAAGAGAAGTGCCTGGGTGGCTCAGTCAGTTGAGCATCTGCCTTCGGCTAAGGTCATGATCTCCAGGTCCTGGGATCGAGCCCCACATTGGGCACCCTGCTCAGCGGGGAGCCTGCTTCTCCCTCTGCCCCTGCTCTCTTTCAAATAAACAAACAAACAAATAAATAAAACTTCTCTAAAAAATTAAAGGAGAGTAAGAACTTGTCACTCACAAAGCAACTTGAGCAGAGAACTTCCAGATTATTGACATCTTCCCTTAAATTTTTAGTTGTTTTGCCCATACAAAATTTGACAACAATAACAAAACTATCTGCAACTCTTCTATCATGTTCCATAACATTCACATTTTTTCCATGGAGGGTCTATCATATTTCATTGGCTCACACAGTAGATTACTTACTCAAGAAATTACTCTACTGAGTTTGCAATTTATTCAACTGTTAGGAGCACAGCTGAGAAGGCCCACTTGCTGCCAGGACTCAGTGCACTGCCTTGGGGAGGCAGTAACGGTTGGGGAATGGTTTCCATTGCTTTTACAAGGAACTAAAATCCGACCCCAGTGCCCACCCTCCGGCCTAGTCCTGTCCCTTGAAGCACCTAAAAATAAGACCCAAGTCGGGCCCTCTCACCTCCCAGCACACATTTTTTAGATGCTGTCCTTTTCCATCCCCACTGGTCAGAGCTCTGCTTCCTGGAGAAAGAGTCAGGCAAGTCTCAGGGGTAACTTGTAACCACTTGTTCCCTCTGATTTTCCCCTGTGGAAGTCACCAGGGCCAGACTAAAACAAACAAACTCACACAAATCTCACACCAAAGCATCAGCCCTCTACGGAGAACAATTAGAATTGGAGGCTGAACTCTCACCCAAACCTCCTGGGTCTCCACTCATACCTGCCTCAAGGCTCCTCCCCATCAGTGATCTGTGCCAGACAGGGCAGGGTGAGGGACACAGAGGAAGCGGCCCTAGCAACCTAGAGTCATGTGACAGGAACAGAATAAACAGCATATATTTTGTCTTGTACATACTAGCAGCCAGCCTTCATTGAACACTCCCCATGTACTTCACCTATGCTAAAGGTCTACCATGAATTATCTCATTTCATCCTAGGAACAACTGTATGAAGTCATTCCCATTTTACGGACAATAAGACCAAGGCACAGAAAGGTTATGAAACTTTGTCACGGGAATACAAATTGGATGTAACAGAGTGGTCACTTGCCTCAAGTGTCTGTGCCCTTTGCCACTGTGCCCCACTGCCTCCAACAGGCTCGAAACAGCTGGGTACAGCTGTGGGCTGGCAGCGCTGAGACCAGGCACACGACAAACTCAACCTTAACTGGCCTAGGCCAGAATGAGGGTATCCCAAAGCCCCACACAGTGCAAACACAGGAGGAGGAGTGGAGCTGGCTCCTAGGACACACAAACTCTTCCTCAGCCTCTTGGCAGGCTATGGGGAAGAGAGGAAGGGGGAAGTGGAGATGCCGGGTACCATTTGCTCTGGGGTCACATTCTTATGGCTTCTGACCAATACAATTAAGTCATTCATTTGTTCAATAAATATGTAATATGTGAATGCCTGATATGTACAAAGCACAACATCTACTGCCAATGGATACTACAAGAAAGACAATGAGCAAGTCCTTGTCCTCATGAGGGTTTCTTTCTTTGTTTTTTTTTTTTTTTTTAAGATTTATTTGTTTGTTTATTTATTTATTTATTTATTTGAGGGAGAGGGAGAGAAGCAGACTCCCTGCTGAGCGTGGAGTCAGATCCAGGACTCAATACAGGACTCGATCTCACGACCCTGAGATCACGACCCGAGCTGAAATCAAGAGTCGGATGCTCAACCAACCAAGCCACCCAGGTGCCCCATGAGGGTTACTTTCTAATGGTGGGGAACAAACTGCTAAGTTGATATGCTAAGTCAGAGGCTAATGGAGAAGGAACACAAAGGGGCGAGGTGGGAAGGAGAGGCTCTCTGAGGGAAGGACTAAGGGAACAGGAAACTACCCCTCCCCCTTCTAAAAGGGAAAATTCTGGGAAAAGCCTGATGCAGGGTCCCCGGCTCCAGAATAGGACAGTGCTGCTTGATGGGAGGATGAGGCTGGGGCGGGTGTCCCTCTTGGTAGGATGGTGGAAGGAGGATGCTGCTGCAGGAGTAAGTGGGGGAAAGATGCAGGACAGTTTAAAAGGCAGACATTTGGTATGTTGTCTCTACTGTTTTTACATGTTTGACCTTGGATGAGTCATTTAATCTAAATTTCTTCCCTGTAAACACGGAATGATGAGAACCAGAGCTCAGCAATCTTCCTCCCCACCCTTCCTTCCCCCACCACCACGATACATGGAGCATCAGTTCTAATTACAGCTGCAACAAAATATCCGTGTTGTGAACAATTCACTAAAAGCCAATCAAATCAATGGCCACGCTGGACTTTGGAAAAGCTATTTCACAGGATATCTGCTCTAAAGGCTTAAAGTAATAGATGCATAAACACTACTTTCTCTTGAGAGAGGACAGAGCTCAACCTCCAGCCTGCCTCTGCCCATCTCCTGTCACAGCCCAGGTCTCCTCCTGTAATAGACCCCACCGGCCTCCCCCCAGACCTGGGCCAGTCCCTGGGGCCTCCTGACAAACCTGGAAGGAAATACAGACTCTAACGTTGTGAATTCAAAAGCATGCGACCGCAGGGCCGTGGGCAGCTATTTTGTCCTTCATGTGGAGAACACTGCCTGGACTGCGGGATTCCGTGAGGCTGCAGAACAGATGTGACAACCTGGGGAAATGGGTGAGTGGGGCGGTCAGAGACACCGGAGCTTAAAATGTCAGCAGACAGGGCGCCTGGGTGGCTCAGCTGGTTAAGCGACTGCCTTCGGCTCAGGTCATGATCCTGGAGTCCCGGGATCGAGTCCCGCATCGGGCTCCCTGCTCAGCGGGGAGTCTGCTTCTCCCTCTGACCCTCCCCCCTCTCATGTGCTCTCTCTCTCTCAAATAAAAAAAAATAAAAAAAATAAATCTTTAAAATGTCAGCAGACACCTGCAGCTCTATCAGCAGCTACCATTCATTGAGTGCTTAAACCCATACCAAGCACTTTACTTGCAGTGAAGCAACTCTGTGGGGAAGAGAAATGCATCCATTTTACATATGGTAACACTGAAACTTCGAGAAATAAGCCTGCTCCAATGCCATGCAGGTGATAAGAGGTGGAACAGAGACCTGATGCCAGATATGTTCCAAAAGCTGTGTTCCTAACCACCAGGCCACTCTGTCTCCCTAGGATAGGATCCAGGATGCAGCCATAATAGTGGTGGCTACTAAGAAGAGGGGAGGAGCCCTGTGCAGTAACCCTGACTTCTCCTGCATGGTGTCAGGCCCTGGGGTGGGAAGAGAGACTGACAGGCATGGCTCTGTTTTCTCTGGCAGTGGAAAAGGGCCTGGGACAAAAGTATCAAGTGGGGTAGCCTGTGGCACTCCTGGATGGCATGAGTCTCCAAGTTTATGATTCCACAGCAGAGCACAGCTGCAAAGACTGGCTGGAAACAGCAATGGGTGAAACAGGGAGAGGGTACAGAGGGCTTGGGAGAAAGAGAAGCTTCTCCCACCTCTTTTTTTTTTTTTTTTAAGATTTTATTTATTTGAGAGAGAGAGAATGAGAGAGAGCAAGCACATGAGAGGG